ACAGGCTCTCCCAGAGCCCAGGCAAGCAGGCAGATCCTGAGGAATTCCCTCCCGCCCAGCCCCTTGCCCCATGCCCCATGCCCCATGCAATGCCTCGGCCCGCAGCCAGGTGAGGTTCTGCTGCCAGCCCAGCTGTGGTTTGCCCTGGTCGTGGGAGGCATCATGGGGGGAAGTGTTGGGGGGAGGAATCCGTGGGGGCTGCCACCCCGGTGATGTACACAGGCCTGCAGGGCAATGCAGAGAACGGGGGCTGGGAGCAGAGGCTGGGCCCCCAAGGGGTCAGCGCCTCCGCTGAATAAATCAGCATCATGCCACTGAGGCCAATTGGCACCAGCTGAGGCCCTCGGCCGAAGAGCCAGCTCGTCCCCTGGGGGCCGTCAGGGAAGCGTCGCTGTCGGTGAAGTGCCATGCACATTTATGGCTCTAGAAGTAGGTGATACGATTGACAATCCTGATAACATTGGCCTACGCAGGGACCAGCAGCGCCTCCGCTGAATAAATCAGCATCATGCCACTGAGGCCAATTGGCACCAGCTGAGGCCCTCGGCCGAAGAGCCAGCTCGTCCCCTGGGGGCCGTCAGGGAAGCGTCGCTGTCGGTGAAGTGCCATGCACATTTATGGCTCTAGAAGTAGGTGATACGATTGACAATCCTGATAACATTGGCCTACGCAGGGACCAGCCCCCTGCTGAGGGCACTGGTGGAGAGGCAGCCGAGCTCCTGGCTGAGTGAATAGCCCATAAAGCAAGCCCCACGGAGCTGCCTAGAGGCAGCCGATTAACGGCCCCGTGGAGCAGCGCCGTGGCTGCAGGGCTAATCGCACGTCTCCTCAGAGGCTGACACATCAATAGCCACAAGTGGCTCTTTCTGGCTCCCTGGAAACGTGGCCTCCTCCCCTTAACTCACTAGGCAGGAGCCTCCTCTGTGGCTGTTCATTGGTGGCTTATGGGGGTACCTGCGGCGTTGCAGGGGGGCTCGCTTGCTGGGATTAATGCCGGCAGGTCAGGAAGGGTGTGAGAAGCAGCGAGGCCAGGGTTTTCACAGCACCCTACCAGCCAGGCACCCAACTCCCACTGGCTTTTCAGGCAGACCCGGGTACCTAATTCCCATAGGCACTTTGGGAAATAGCAGCCTGAGGGCCTATGGGGGTACTAACAACCGGAAGGGAGGAAGGAAAGACGAAGACCAGGAGGTGGGTGCGGAGGCTGAGCTGGAGTTGAATTGGTGCCGGGCTTTGTGCTCTGCAAGCAGGGAGGGGGCATTTTGCCTGCTGGGAGCACAGAGCCGGCTTATGTCACTGGCCAGTGGCAACCAGGCTGGGTGTGAGCGAACCCCTTCTCCGGCCTGCTAGAGCCTCTTCCTGCACTGACAGACAGGCAGGCGCAGGCCCTCCCTGCGGGTGGGAAGGGATGCAGCCCATGCATCCGTGGCCTGGCTCAATGGGCAGCAACCCCATGCCCAACATCTGACCTGGAAGCTCCTAGGTGAGATCCTCTGAGGGGGCAGCACACCCCCTGGTGTAAGCTGCGGCTCAGGCCGGCTGTGAGGCCTGGTGTTGGTTCGTAGCCCTGGCAGCGCTGCCATTATCCTCCTCGGCTTAGGTCACTTTGCTCTTCCGGTTTCCCCATTTGCTTTTGGAGGGGGACCCTGCCAACCTAAAACCCTCCTTTCCCCAGGATCTGGGCTGGCCGGCAGAGGGGCTGCACTTTTCTCTCTGTGCTGCACATTCTTCCTTTGGCATTCACCCGCTTCCATGGTGATTTACTACAGCTGCTCCGTTCCGGTCAGAGCCACAGAACCAAAGGGCTAGCGGGGCCAGAAGGTCCGTCCAAGCCAAGCCCCTGGCACGATGCAGCAGTAGGTTCTTTCTAGTCCTCTCTCTACACCTGAGCCCAGACAGCAGCCTGATGCAATCAAGGCAGACTCCAGGGCTGTGTCTAGACTACATGCCTCTGTCGGCAGAGGCATGTAGATTAGACACATAGACAAAGGCAAATGAAGCCATGATTTAAATGATCGCGGCTTCATTTACATTTACATGGCTGCCGCGCTGAGCCGACAAACAGCTGATCAGCTGTTTGTCGGCTCGCGCGCTAGTCTGGACGTTCCCCCTGTCGACATCAAAGCCCTTTGTCGGCAGCCCCGTTATTCCTCGTGGAATGAGGTTTACCGGGGCTGCCGACAAAGGGCTTTGATTTCGACAGGGGGAACGTCCAGACTAGCGCGCGAGCCGACAAACAGTTGATCAGCTGTTTGTCGGCTCAGCGTGGCAGCCATGTAAATGTAAATGAAGCCGCGATCATTTAAATCACGGCTTCATTTGCCTTTGCGAAAAAACAAATCTACATGCCTCTGGTCTTGTTATCCTGAGTAGAGAAGGCTCCCAATGACGAATTGGGCTGGGGGGGCTGGCCAGTCTTGTGATTTATCAGGGCTGGGGGGGTTGGATTTGGGGCCTGTGTTTTTGTGGGTCAACACCTGTAGTTAATAACACCCAGGGCCAGACCCTCTCCTCAACCCTGGGGCAAGCTGGAGCAGCAAGTGGAGGATTTGGCTCTGGCTGCCTTTGCATAGCAGCACATCCACGCCCCTTCCTGCCCTGTCTGTGTGAGGAGGGGCACTCAGATGGCCGGCATGGGGCAGCAAGTGCCACGGGAGGGCTGCCAACTGTGCCTCAAGCTAGCTGGGAGATTGTTTTATGTCCAACATGGCATCATCTTAAACTACCCTATTCTCTTATCTGTCCGTAAGCCAGTTATCTGTTTAAATAAGCGTGTTGTTCATATTGTTTCCTGGACTTTGACATGTCTTGGAAGATATTCCAAATATAAACAGAGGCACAGAATAATATCTAACCTATATTAGGATATTTACATACTCTATTCAGATGCAATATAATCACCCATGAAATTCTCTCTCTCTCTCTCTCTGCCACCCCCTCCCCCACCTTGCGCACAACATGCTAGGCACACACATCACACATACCTACACTCGCACTCTGCACTAGCCTGGAGGTGGAAATCAACTGAATTTTGTCTGTTTTGTTTCCTTAATTTTATTCTAACACAAACTTGTAGTGGCTATAGAAGGGCACTTTAAAACAAATCCAGATGTATTTACATGATTTAAAACTGGGATAATTTGTAAGGGAAGAATAATCGTCTTCTCATTCTGGTTCATTATTTTTTTTTACACCAGTAGATTCAGTCTCATTTGCCTATTCTGGGCTCATCAGAAAAAACCCATCACATCAGTGAAGGAGACTGAAGGGGCTGAGGTGTTAAAGGCAGAGCGAGGGGAGGGAGGGTGCTTTCAGATCTCCTCGGTAGGACAGCAAGGAGACAGGCAACAAGGACTTCAGCAACCGCACACCGAAGAGAGAAGAGTTTCCTTGTTTATCTAGTCACCATGAAAACGGTCGTCCAGATCTTGTGCTTCTTCTTTTTAATAACTTTTTACAAATGTGCGGTCATCACTGGGGTAAGTCTGATTTCCTTGCCTTGCTAATGTGACACTTGAACATGTCTGAGATCTTGTATTCCTTCTGAGCTAGATTCCATGTGATTGGAGAAAATAATTGCATCTTCTAGCGGAGAAGTGATTTTATTTTCAGTAATTCAGAAAAGAATTTCCTCCCGGAAGCTCAAAGAAGAATACTTTCAAGTAAAAATTGTATACTGTGCTTATATCTTCAAAGCGTGCCTTCGTATTCATAATTATAATGAAATATTACCGTGTGTGTATTAACAGCACACAGTTTGATCAAAAAGAAGCAATCCTAAACCCAAGAGACATGCTTGCATTAATAAATGCTCTGTTCCCGATGGATATTCTTACTTGGAACTAAATCAACATTTCTCCAGCAGTGCTTGATACTCCGTGAATTTGAAAGTGACACTGACTACGTATATACAAAAGTGAAACAGACATGATTCCCTCCACCCCTGCATTTGAGCAAAAAGATAGGGGGGAAATGAAATAGAACAACTACAGGAAAGTGCATTACGACATTTATATTTGTTTGGGTTCTGTCAAGGTTTATTGGTATCACAAATAATTGGTTTAATTATGCATATTTTTTAGCTGTGATTGCTTGTATCTAATTAAATTCTTTACAAAGCGATACAAAGCTAGCTAAATGACAAACACATTCAGTATTTTTTAATGAGTTAGACTGAATACTAAATTCTTATTCACTGATCATCTTTTATATGCTATCAGCTATGAGTCCACAGAGCGCAATGTATGCAGATACAAATCCGGCCAGGGAACCAGAGATTCTTGTTCAGAACACACCACGCTACACCATTTGAGTCAAAGAGGGGAGGGGAAAATAGTAAAACGTTTTCAGGTTGAGAAAAGTGTGGAGATGCTGATAAGACACCCCCGTACGGCCCATAGGAACGGGGGGGATTTGATTTCAGAGGTGCTGAGCATCTCAAACTTTCACTGACTTCACCACCTATGAGAGGAGCAAAGCCCCCTCAGAAAGAGGCCCCGACCTCCAGCTGGCATATGCCGCCTGCCACGGGTGACGATGACTTTAATGGAGCCATCTGCCCCAGTGTCCTAACTAATGTCAGTCTCATTCATTTAGACCCGAAGAATTCAGAGTGTCTTTCAAGAGAACACAAGATGGGAATTTACAGAGAAAAGGAGAGAGGCCAAGAGGCCACGTCATGTATCCCAATGCATTGAAAGAGTTGAACGGGCCTTGCGCGAGGAGTGTGGTATTATTCAACTGGGGTCGGGCTGCAGTGAAATCTGAACAGGCCCCAGGCAGCCGGAGGTGGCCGCGGCGGGCGGGGGGAGGACAGGTACCAGTGGGTGGGGGGAGAGGACTCATCCCTGGCCCCCAGCCTCCTGCCCACCCTGCAGATCCCCAAGGCCCTGCTCTCTGAAGGGCTGGGGCAGTGGCGGCCAAGG